CCAAGGTCAGAAAAAGTTAGAATGGGTGAATTTGGTTAAGAAAAAGTGTTAGAAAAATATGACTTACCAAAAACACAGACTCAGCCCAGGATGCATGCACGTGCGCATGTGTGTGTGTGTGCACGTGCGCGCACACACACACACACACACACACACTCTGCTCAAAATTATCAGGCATTAAATGTCTAGGATGAGTTTTTTTGTTTTTTTGTTTTGTTTTGCTTAAATTCTTTTATTGGCACATTTTAGGTATACAATACATTTACATTTATCATTGGGTGCTTGTACCTGTACATGACATATCTTGGTTATTTTTTTCCCCATTCCCTGTGCTCCCTTCCCTATTTACAAAGACTTTGTTTCTATTTCTCATAATTTTTGGGATGGGTTTTTTTATGCATCAGTTAAAAAACTGCTCAGTAGAAATAACAAATCTTAAATTCTAATTAGTGGTGAAAGCTTCTAGTTTATGACTCAGACTTTGCTGTTCTTGTTGGAGGAGTGGAAGGAGTACAGTATCTGTTAGTTTACTTAGTTTCTCTGTAAACCTACTTATCAGTCAGATTCCTGTGAAGGTTGAAAGGCTAGAGTTGTCGAGTTTTCTCTGTGTTAAGCAATGGAAAATATACTTTGTTCAACATTAAATTTCCCTCCCAAGGACCAATCATCAAATGTAGTTCTCATTTCTTTAGATGTTATTTATCAAATCTAACTGGATCATTTAGTGTCTTTGTTTATTTTTGGAACAATTTAGGAAAATCTATTGCAATCACGTCATGATTTACCAAATAAAGAAAATGCAGATCATCCTTTCAAAGCCCTTCAGTGCACTTTATCATGTGTTAGATATTTCACATATTCAACTTGGACTTTCTCCTCTAGCTTCTCTATCCCAACTGACTCCCACACCCACCTGAAAGATAAAAATATGTGAACGCTATTTTTGCCTACTTAGACTTTTAGAGTACCAGCAACAGCTTTGAAAAATCTTCCAGTATAATATATGTACCCTGTGACATCACTGAACTGTAGTGAATCACATTGCTGTAGTACTTCAGGCCTTACAAAATCTTCTCATTTGAGTTTTACACAGCCCAGTGCAATAGATAGAGGTGGAACTGCTACAATCCCCTTTACACAGTGGAGAAATTCGTGCCTCTCAGAGGCCAAGTGATATCTAAAACCAGATAGCTAGTAAGGGCAGGAGCTGGGTTGCTGGCCTCGATGACACTACTTTGACTCTTTCCAACTTGTTCTTATGTGACTTTTCCCCTACTGACATCCAGCATACTCAGTATTTATATTTTTTTCATGAAACGTAAGTCAGATAGTTATAAGCAAAATAGAGAACTTAGAGAATTCTCTATACAGTCTGTCCTGGATAAAAGTACCCACTTAAACTTCTATGAAGCTTGCACAGAAGCCTGCATGTGAAATACATCTCTCACAGCTACAATTCAGCTATCAGTTAATATTAAGAGCAGGAGAAATGAATGGCCCAGGAAATTGTTCTTGGATTCTATGGCAAAGGCCTGTCAGTTTGTGTCAATATGAAAACTCTTGTCATTATTGATGTTATCAATATACAATAGTAATTAAAGATATACTTATAATTCCACAAACATGTTTCAATTTCATGTGTTTTTGCATATCATGAGCTCTTTAAAGCCAGAGCCTGAGTCTTATTTGCTTTTAATTGTAGACAATCTCAATGCCTTGAGTTCAATAAGCATTCAATAAAGATTTGGCTTATTGTTAAGCACTTGACAGACACTTAGAAGCCATGACAGGTTCTACTTTACACTGACTAATCGATCTGTTCCTCAACAGCACTTTACATGAAATTACACTGTTGTTCTCACTGTATTCATAAGCACAATCTTTTCTTCAGTAGGTTCACTAATAAAGGTTACATTTGCAATTCTATTTCTAACCATAGCATGAAACTGAATCTTTCATCAATCTTTGTAACTTGATAATGAACTTATGCGCATATATGTGTGTATCTGTATGTGTGTCTGTGTGAATGTGTGGGTGAAGGGGTAAAGAAAATTCATAATCAGTGTATAACCATTTCTGTATTGTTCCCTAGTATTCCATGGTCCTCCATTTTTTTCTACAAAATAACAATTCTTAATCAAATATGTTTGAATTTAAGATTTTAAAATATATGTTGTATATTTAAATGCATTTATAAAATATTATATGATATATAAAGTATATTTACATGTCATAATATACTTTATGTGTCATATAGCCTATACATACATATATTCACATGTATGAATACATATATATTTCTATACTCCAAAGGAAACATGAAAAAGGCCCATTTAGTGAATCTACTTATTACTATTTTCTTTTTATTTCAAGGCCCAAAAATATGTACAGACATTAGAGCAATGTATATAAATCCTGGAAAAACCAAGTATTTCCCTTCAGAAAACATTATGTCAATTAGAGATTTTAGTCAAAAGTACCAGAAATCAGCCCTGGCTGAGCAAAAAGGGTTTTGTTTTAGAGATGTCAGATGGTGCAAAAATCCTACAGGAAGGCAGAGAAACCAACACAGAACCCAGACAGGGCAGAAAGGAAGCCCAATGCAGTCACCCGACCTTCTTGCAGGGAGCTGCTGCTGCCACTGAATGAACCAGGAAATCACCAACTGTTCCTACTGCTTTGCTCACAAGTCACTTCAGTCAATATTAAGAATCCAATCGGCTTCGCTAATTGAAAAGAATCCAATCGGCTAGGCTTTAGTCATATGTTCTCACTTTCAGTTTAGTGTCGGGGGAGCTTGACAGTGTGGACCACTGGGCTGAGATGGAGGGATGGAGGGTGTCCCAAATGGAATCAAAGTCTGCCCCTGGAATTGGACTGTGTGCTCTGGATGACCATGACCCCTCACAAAACTACTCTCTACTTTAGTCACGGCTTTTTGTTCATTTTGTTTTTTGTGTTGTTTTGTTTGCAGTACTGGGATTGAACCCAGGGCCTTTGCACTGACCTACATCCCCAGACCTTTCAAACGTTTCAGTTTTAAAACAGGGTCTCACTAAATCAGTAAATTGCCCAAATTAGGTTCAAACATCTGATTCTCCTGCCTTAGTCTCCCAAAATTCATAGTGTAGCTCTTCTGCTGAACACATACTCACCATTTCCCAAAAAGAAGATCATCTAATTTCTCATTACTTCCCACACTGTTTCCAAGTCTAGGATCTCCTGAGACATCTTTTTCTCCTCTAGTTTCATCATGATTCTACTTCAGTGGGCATTAAGTTATGGAAAGAGTCAGTAAATATAATTGCCATCTGTTATGGGTTGAAGTATGCTCTACCCTCTCCCTCCAACTGAGGAGGGCCTGGGTCAAAGTCTATGTTGGAGTCCTAATCTCTAGTAATTCAGACCATGATCGTATCTGGAGATCAGGTCTTTATGGAGGTAATTAAGTTAGAGGGAGGTCATTAGGATCATTAGTCCAATATGACTGGTATATTTATAGAAAGAGAAGAATTTAGACTCAGAAGAGATAATTGGAAGAGATGGCTATTGACAAGCCAAGGAGAAAGTCCTAGGTCAGAACCTTCCACAGCAGTCCTAAGAAGCAGCCAAGCCTGACAACATCTTTATTTGCAACTTGTAGCTTTTGTAAGAATGTATTTCTGTTAATTCATCTCATTTGTAATATCATGTTACAAAAGCTCTAGCAAACCGATGCACTGTCTGAACATCTTTCACATAGCAATGGGGAAAAGAAGAAAAACAAACTAAAAATATACACACAAAAGAAACACAGTAAAGGAGGTGAATAAAATAGACACTGTTCTTTGTATTCGTCAATCTCTACTTTTAGGAATATTTCATAGGGACAGATCCTTTGATATTAACTAATTTTCTGCAGAATTCAGATATAACCGCAATTTTTTTAAAAGGTTAGCAGCATTTCTGCTTCTGTCTTAATCAGAACTGAAACCAAAGTGTCAACATATTTTATGGAAAGTCTGATTTCTTTGGATTTAAACTCACAAAAAGTCACTCTCTTCTAGTAGTACTTCTGAGCCGGATAAATTCCTGACATGAGAAGAGCTGTTGACTACTCAGTGATAGAATCCTCTAGATTTCTAAGATTTCTCCATTTATATTAGGACAGTTTATAGTCAACAAACATTTATGAAATATTAATTACTGTCATACCCTGTGCTTGAAACTAGAGCATACACGTAATATTGTTTTTACCTTCAAAGAACTCAGTCCAGAGAAGAAAACAGGTAAGTAAATAAATTATTTAATAAAATATGCTTAGGTCATGAGGATGTTTTGGGAATTCAATGAATAGGTGAGTGGCACAGGGCAGGCAGAAATTCTAAAAGAATTCTAACAAATCTGTTAAAACTGCTGTGAGCTGGTTGAATTCTGACTGTGCATAGCTTCGAGCATAAGTGTCCACAACTCAAAACCTGGAGTGATTGCACAAGCAAAGACACAATGCACACATGCAAGATAACTGCTGGGTATAGTTAATTCAATAACCACTGAGGGAGTAAAACCAAGCTTATGAATATTATCTATTTGATTAGACATGCGTATCAACCCTGTAATGCAGTTCAATCAATAACATTTTAAAACAAGTCCAGGGAAGGCTCACAGTGGGACTGACAAAAGGTACAACAGCCAGAGAAAGCCAAGGTGATATTTTCAGGCACATAGCTCTTCCTTGAAGGAAGATGTCCTTTGCTACCCCCTGCTCCTTTCTGTATGCAAAAGTTGGAGCACTTGTCCCCTCTGATATGCTAACAGTTATACACAACCTTGAGGGGCATTTGGATACTTTGTCTCAATTCTGGGTTTTTGGTTTCGTTTTTTGCTCCAGTCCTGGATTGGCCTATATGCACATAACTCAGGGTACCTTTCCTCTTCCTCGGTCACTCACACTCAGAAAACAGGAAGAAAAGAGTGCTCCCCACCTTTTCCTATTTCATTCTCTCCCCACCCCTACTCACAGTTGCCATGAGGTCACTTCCTCAGGACAGGAGATCCCAGCTGATGCAAAGTGGCCATAGATCGTGTGTAACTGGGCTTTTACTCTCAGTATCACTCTTGAGAAAATATACCTCAGATACAGTCAGTCCTCTGTATCCATGGGTTCTGTTTCCAGAGAGTCAACCAACTGCAGATTAAAAATATTTTTTAAAATTACATCAAATATATACAGATTTTTAAAATTTAATTCTTAATACAACATAACAAAAAATACAACATAACACCTCTTTTCGCAGTTGTATTACATATTATAAGTAATGTAGAGATGATTTAAAGTATACAGGAAGATGTGTGCAAATACCATACCATTTTGTATAAAGGACCTGAGGAACCACAGATATTGTTATCTGGATTGGGAAGGGACGATAACAACTTTATGAACATAAAAACAAGATGTTATCTGTCTCAGTGTTTTAAAGGAAGAAAATTTAAAACAGGCTTATATGTAACCTCCTGGTCATAAAGTCTTTGTTATATTTGCCCCCATAAATAATAGTTTATTGATTGTTTTCAAACAAATGCTCTTCTGCAGTTTTTCTGGGCAACATAGTAATTTTAACTACTTGTAACATTTTCTGTACTTAGATTTGGGCAGACAAGTTACAGAGAAGCATGAGGGAGGAAGGTTCACTGGGGAATTACAGTGGAGACCAATGCACTGCTAAGATTGTTCTGTATGGATTCCAATTTCACTTTTTTTCTCTGAGGATTATAAGAAGAAAAAAATGTAAATTTGTTACCTTAGGTGCTTCGTTACCCGAGAGCAGAAACAAAGCCTATATGTATTTGTCAAATACAAAATGCACCTCTAGCAGTCTTGTATTTATTCATTTATTAATTTAAGCATGTTGCTTAAAATCTTAAGTGTTTATTTTACGCTAATTCATTATTTCCAAGTTTCCAAAAGAAATCACGTGACTTCAGAGAACGAGCATAGCTAATTAAATAACGATTGGTAATGTATGCAGGCTTAATTACATAATTTCTAAAAGCTGTCATGCATAATCAGAGCTCAATTTAAAAATAAATACTATTAATTGCATGGGTGACTGGCATTAGAGAAGCAGCAGCTAATAGAGAAAATAGGAACATTGGCTCTCTTGGACTCAAATTCAACTTGATTAACTTGGTTAACAGAGATGAGCCCCAAGGTGATAAAATATTTAATATTTTTAATAAAGTTTTCTGCTCAAGCTTTAGATTACATACTCATGACTTTCCATATACTATGTGTAGAGTGAGGGAAACTAAAGAATTAGTCCAGCCAAATAAATGAAGCAGACATAGGCAAGTACTTGCAGCCCAGGGATATACATCTCTAAGATATTAAGAAGGTGAACACCATATACTAGGCCTAATTTTTAACATGGAGTCTGACCACAACACAATGTCTTCACCTCACTTTTCCATAAGCAACAGCCAAACAGGTACAACAGATATCCCTGGGTCCCCTGTCCCAGCTTCTGCTGTCTGGAGAAAGACTCAACTTCGTGGTTCTTGCTAAACTCTACACTGATATTTCTATACATAAAGTTCTAATATTTTTACCAACAGAAGGGATATGGCCGTTTTTGTAGGTAGAACTGACATCTCAAAGCTCATGCTTACACTGTAAGGGGATTGGGCTTATGGAAAGATCTTGAGATGAAGAAGTCTGATGATATTTTTTTAATGTCAAATCTGACACAGCTGGGAGACCATAGAAAAGTGCGTCTACTGAGCCTCAGTTTACTCCTTTCTGTAAGAAGTTAAACTAACAAAATGGTAAAGATTTCTAGTTGTGGAATCAACAGATCTGGGTTTTAGCCTTGCTTCTGCCATTTGCTAACTGGATATTCTTGGGCAAGTTTTTAAGCACCCTGAGCCTTAGTTTTTTCATTCGTAAAATAGAAGTGAAAATATGGTTACTTTGGTAAGAAGCATAACTCTATATACAGCGCTTACTACAGTGCCAGGCTCAGAGTCAGCATGGAACTCCCATTCCCATTCCCACTCCCACTACACCACTACCACTTAATTACATTACTGCTCCTTATTCTACTTCTATTACTGCCTTACCATATTACTATCATCACCTTATGACACTACTTCTACTATACTATTCAACTTACTACATCGCTGCTACTGCTACTGTCTTATCACACTTCCAGTATTGTCAGACTACTTTACTACTACCTTACTATATTACTGCTGTTACTATGTACTACCACTTAGTCAATACATGTGTATTAGTTTGTTAGAGTTGCCATAACAAAATACCACAGACTAGGTGGGCTAACAGAAATTTTTTTCTGACAGTCCCAGAGGTTAAAGAAGTTGAAGATCAAGATATCAACAGATTTGGTTTCTTCTTGCCTCCCCTTGGCTTGCATATGACTACTGTCTGTGTCCCCACATGGTTTGTCAGGGCTTTCCAAAGAAATAAAAACAACAAGATGAGTACATGTACAGAAAGAGGTTTATTTTACGGAATTGGCTCAGCAATTATGAAGGCTTGGCAAGTCCAAAACCCAATGGACAAGACCAGCAGGATGGAGAATCAGGAAAGAGTCTGTTATAGACAGGAAGTTGCCACTTAAGACTGCTGTAGAACTAGGAAGTTACCACTTTACTCAACCATAGAATCAGGAAGTGCCAATAGCTCAGATGAAGTCCAAAGCACATTGGGCTACAGAATTCCTTTGCATTTGAAGGAGGTCAGCCTTTTCTAGTCAGGACTTCAGCTCACTGGAGGAGACTCATTCACATTTTGGAGAGTAATCAGCTTTATTCAAAATCCACCAATTTAAATTGTAAATCTCATCCAAAACACCCTCACAGAGATGTCCGGAGTAATGTTCAACCAAATAGCTAGGCATCATGGCCCAGCCAAATTGACACATAAAATGAACCTCACACATGGTCACTCCTCGGCCTACGCATCCCCTGGTATCACTCTGTGTGTCTAAATTTTCTCTTTTTATGAAGACATTAGTCAAATTGGACTAAAGCCCACACTAAGAGCCTCATTTTAATTTAATCACTCTGTAAAGGACTTATCTCCAAATACAGTCATTTTCTTAGGTACTGGCAGATAGGGCTCTGGAAGGACACAAAAATATAGCTCATTCCACTGATTTCTACTGCACTTAACTATCACTAACTATTCTACCACTACTAATACTGTTACTCATATTCTTCATCCTCTTCCTATTACTAAAATTATCATTAGGCTCCTTCTAGTTTCAATTTCCTATATTTCTATAAAATACATTATGTACAGGTGGCACCATGAAGCTCAGAGTCTCTACTAAGACTGAATGCAAATTCATCCCTTGTCAGTTCATGGAATACAGTTTAAGACAGCTAATGGAGGCAAATTCAACAATTAAGAAATATTGGTCAAGGAGGAAATGTCAAACTATAAAGATGTTAGCCCAGTAGGACAAGAAAATCAACAGCCTACCCAAGAGGAGTTTTAGTCTATCAGTAGGTACCAGCTGGAGTATTATCGTGCTCAAGGAGCCCGAACTTTTTTGTACTAAAGATTCAGCAGGAGCTATGAAGTTAATCACTTAATCAGCCTCTCTGATTTTTTTCAGCACTAAGAAATCTGAGGGATGGTGACATCTTATGTCTTTTATTTTTCACTTTTATTTGTCAATTTATGTTAACTTTTAAAAATACTTGAAAAACGTTTTCAGTGAAGGACTAAATGATGAATTAGAATGGAAAAGGCTATAAATATGCATTGTGTTTATGCCTTATCAATATGAACTGGCCAGCACATATGAATTTTACCATTTCATTTTATATTGCATTTTATATATGAAGGAAATTGTACAAAGACAATAAGATTTCCAAAGATGAAGTCTGAGTCATTCTTAAATTTGTATCTCCCATTGTATCTCATTCCATGTGTTTTTGCATAATCTTTTTTCAGGAAATACTTGCTAAGTGTAGTAAAGACAAGATTCCCCAAATTTTGATGATGCCTGCTTTACTGCTGCTCTCATTGTCATTCAAAAATCTGTACCAGGCTCAGCTGTCCTGCTAGCCATCTGTCAGACAAAGTTACAGTGTGGGTTAACTGAAGGTTGTGTCTATAATCCAGCAAGCAGTTCAAGTTAACCCAGCAGTCATTTATTCAGTCTGTGTTATATAGAAAGCATTGTAGACCTTGTCATCCAGTAAGGCAGACAGCATGTGTACATGAATATCCATAATTTCAGGCAATTTCCCTACTAATAGAGATATAAATAATGTACTAGAGATGTAGACTATTATGCCTAAGACAACACAAGAAACTAAAATTGGTGCCAGACTGTGGAGCAGTTTGAAGACTGAGCACCATCCTAATCACCACCGATAAATTCTTCTGTCATCTTTCTTAAAGATTGAAAAAAATTAGAGACACACATCCTTGACAGCCTTATTACCTCAATAAGCACAGAATGAAGCAGTCCAATAGTACTGACACCACAATACCATGTCAGTGATAATACTAACCGTATCCTTCTAGAACATTCACTTATGGACAGATACAGACCAAAAATATTTTGTATTTTTATCAATATCATTGAAAACAACCAGATTAAAATGCTTTAATGGCATATACAACAAGATAAAAATGGTTATTTTACAAAATATTTACAAAATCCCCTGCGAACACCATTCTGTAACCACAAGACCCATCCACCCCTCCCTTTCAACTCTCAGACACATGTGAAAGAAAAAAGAGAAGAAAAAAATCAAGGAGAGAATGGTGACTGATAAAGAGCTAGGATGGAGAGAGGATGGAGGTTGAAAGCCACACAGGCTAGGAACCCGGAGTGTTTGGGTGGAGATAAATGGGGATGGGCTAGGGAACTGTTATCTGTGAATAAAAACTTCAAAAGAATTGAGGATGGGGCAAGCAGTGTATTGCAGTTACGATCTGAGAGATCCACAGAAAGGACAAATTCCTTCAGGGCATGGTGGCACATGCCTGGAATCTCAGCACTCTTGAGGCTAAGCAAGAGGAGCTCACATTTGAGGTCAATCTGGAAAACTGTCTATCTCAAGGGAAAAAAAAGGGAAAGAAAAAATAAAAAAACAGATTTTCTCCTTAATTTAGGAGAAGAGACAAGATTGATTATTGAACTGCGG